TAAACAAAAAAGCCCCACAAACTAAACACTAAAAAAAAAAAAAAAAAAAAAAAAAAAAGGCGCAAATCCACCCCTTTTCCTCCATCGTGAAATGCTCTGGCTTGACTCAGGCCTACATGCAGGGTCCTGTGGTCTCTATTGTGTTCTGAAGATTCTTGTTGCAAACAGAGTAAATGGCCTGATTCAAAGCCCTTTGAATTGAATTGAAAACCTCCAGTGTGCTTTATTGGTTTTGGATCAAACCCAGAAAAAATAGGTAAGAGCTGGACAAAATGTGCTAGGAAAAATCCCTTTGTGAATGCATGCATCTCTGACTGTAGCCAATTCACTGTAATCACTGAAATAAATGATGCACCCCAGCAGCAAGGCATGCACTCCATGCATTCTCCATTACCTTCCCAGCAATGTGCATATCACAAAAAACAGGGATAAAATGCTGCCAAACCTAGATGCATCTTAAATTATGGTTCATTATTGTGCCTTATTACCCACAGGCTGAAGAAATATATGTGACAGTGATTTTTTACCAAGGAGCAGAAAACCAGTATTTCTTTTAAGCACTGGTTCCACCTCACAAGTTTTTGAAGATTGTGATCCAAATAATCAAAATAATTTCACATAGAAATCAGAAAAATTGATAGATATGGGGTTCAAATATTTATTTGGGGGTTTGTTTGTATATATTTAAGGGTCACATTTTGAAGAAAAACTATTTAAAATATCTGTACTCTGAGTTTTCTATTTAAAAAACAGAGACAAGAATTCCTTCTTCTGAACTTGCCTTCCATCCAAGATATTTTCTGCAACCCTGAGAAGTAGAAAACTTCTACTTCTAATCTCTAAAAAGAGATTTTTATTGAGTCATGTGGCTCCAGGAGGTGATGTAGAAAAGAAAATTCCTTATTTCTTGATGTTATTTCATTATAAGCAGCTTGCTCTTATTATTAAACTGAAACTATATGGATGATAACTTACAGGGTTTTTTTGGTTTCTTGGGAGGGGCAAAGGGAAGTTAGTATTCTGTTTAGAGCCTCTGTCTTCAAAATCAAGAATGCATGTAAGGTATTTTATATATTTGAACTCAGTCAACTTGTTTAGTTTTCGGGTTTTGTGTACAGAACAAAGTTACTGTGCAATATGCTACATAATTTATGTAATTTAACGAACTTACTTTGCTAAAAGACTACTGTGAATGATGAGACCATATTTTAAGTCGTTCTTTATTCTGCTCGGCTTGTTATAGCTTCAAATTAACTTGATTAGACTGAGAAGAAAAAAAAAATTTTCAGAATAAGTGCATACCAAATTTATTTGGAAAGACTGACTTTATTTTCACTCTGCATCCTGTCTTCACGTGAATCACCTTTCAGGTGATTTCAGGTTCAGGGAAGCTATTATTTGAACTGTACAGATCTTTCCATGTGTCTCCTTAATCAATTTTTTAAAGTTTTTAAAGTTTTAAAGTATTTTTTAAAAATTGTGTACTCAATTTTAGGGAGATGTAGATGAAGACAGGGCTTTTGATGAAACCTGAAAACAACCCTAAGTTGAAATGGCAAGAGGAACTGATTTAGGTACACCTCCTATAAGCAAACCTTAGCTCAGGCAATACTCAAAGCTTCTCAGAGCTTTTGATCTGTTTTTGCAGTTTGCAATGTAAAAGAAAATCAGAAGAGTTTTGAGTGAGATAGGGCAAGGCCATGGCTGGTTTTCAAGTCTTTGCTTTAAAACAGTTTCTAATATGGGTGAGTTTTTTTGTTTTTTTTTTTTTTTTTTTTTAACCAAATCCTGGGATGCAGTCACCTGATCTAAATGAGTCACCTGTCTGCTAGGTAGTTATTTCTTGGTAGTTGAGCTGTTTTGCTTAAACTTGCACCTTCTATTTGTTGATCACCTTATGCAAAAAGTGAAAACCTAGTTAATTACTATGTCTCAGATGAAAAGCAGCAACATTACTCCATAGGAAATTAATTGTTTTTTCTTGTGAATCCATAGTTTATTGTTTTTGGGGTGAGATTAGGATTGGGCTTTTCCTGCACGATACCCTGTTCATGAAGATTACACGTTAAATCTTGCCATTTTTCCTTTGTTTTCTAATTCCTTCATCATTTGTTAATGACAGTAAAATAGAACTAGAAGCTCTGAGGATATATGCAAAAGAAGTTCCTTTGAAAGTAAGAACTCTGCCAACTGAAAATATCTTTATTCTCAAACCTTCTGTGATTTAGCCTGTGACTTAATTCACTGTATGGTAGTGATCAAGAAAACAAGCTTAAGTCAGGTTTGGTTCTAATTTTTGCATGTGTTAGAATGAAAAAAAAAAATTGAAGAGAATAGTATTATTGGCTTGTTTGGTTCTAGAGATACATCATTTAAGATATCATTAATGTAACTTCAGAAACTTCTGTCTTTGACTTTTCAGGCTTGATATCTCTATCACACTACTGAGCCAGCTTAATAAGTGAGCACACACACTCAGATTAAAAATTAAATGAATTGGAAGAAAACTAGGAAGAAAAGAAAGGGAGGGAAAAGGAAAAGAAAGGAAAGAGAAAAAAGAATAAGAGAAGAGCAATCAAACATGATGTTTATTCACTTTCCAATGGTCTGGGAGAATCCCTTCAGCTTTATCATACTCAGCACCTCCCCCTCTCTCACACACTGCAGATGAATTGAGCAGTGTATGTATTTTTGAGTCCCCCTCTCCCATTTCCAGTTTGACAGTCAGTGGATCTTATGGTCATAATCCATGTTGAAAAAATTTAAGTCAGTATATACAGAGTGTTCGTTACACCACTGTGCGCAGTGGTAGAAGTGGAGCTTTTTCCTAGGTCTGCTGGCTGGCACCCTGACTGCTTGTTTTTATTTGTGGCCTTGCCATAGGATTTTTGTGTGTTTGAGAATAAGCCAGTTTACCACTCTACCTCCAAGTCTTTCAGCTTTAAAATGCAACGCAACCTCACCATGAGACTTAATTAGGGTCCAGAACACTTTGGTTAGAATCAATGACAAAAAGAGGCTTTTGACCTCACTGAAGGTTAATAATAGGATCTTCATGTCTGTAAGGCACTTTAAGAAACTTGGATGAAAGGTGAAATAATTTAATAAGGGACATCAACAAAAAAGTCACTGGATTCTGAGCTTGCTGAGTTTGCATTGCATGTGGTCTGTCTGTAGATGCAGAATAATATTAAGAGGTAATTACTTAACTTTTTCAAAATGGGGCTGCAGTGGGAAATATAAGTGCTAGGGAGGTCTGGTTTTTATGCACAAAATATGTAGCAGCAACAACTTTATGATCATTTTGTTACAGCTCTTAAAATGAACCGGTGTGCTAGACTTCAACCTGGTTCCTGTTCTTTTTTTTTGCTTATCTTGCATGCATATATTAAATGCCTTCCTGGAACAGACAAAATGCTCATCTAACACTGGAAGCTTCTCTCGTTTTTTGAGAGAGTTGGGAATCTGTCAACCAGGATCATTTCAGAGCAAAGTCCATTGTTTAGTAAATACTGTCAGGATCTCCATGACCACAGAGGAAGATAGTGATGTATTTGCAGCCTTATAGGTTTTAATTTTCTCCTTAATTTCACTTTACCTGGAATCCTTTAGTTACCAATCTCCAAAAGTTCAGCTGATCAACATCTGGAAATAAATGAATAACTAGATGCACTCAAACCAGAAAAGCAGATTGAACTTGGATGAAATTTTAATTTTAAGTGTATGTCTTGGACTGCTACCAGAAGCCCTTTAGAATGTCATTGTTCTTTGGGGGAAATTTGAATGCGGACAAAAAGACCGTTAATAAATGCTGTCAAAACATCTGTTAAAAATCTGCAAGTTACAAAATATGCATTAAAAAGATAATTAAATAAAGATGGTACAGTTTAAAGCTCTTCATTTTCTCATTTGTAAAGTTCATGTGGTAGGTTTAGGCCAGGTATACCTACTGGCAAATAGCTGGGTTTTTATGTTCAAGGAGATGGAACAAAGACAAAGACCAACCATTACCTCCACTCCCTTCCCCAGTTCATATTTAGAGTGTACAGGAAGATGTTTTCCTTCTCTGGAGAGCAGAGGAGGGAAATGGCAGTTGTGAGCAAGAAAAAAAGGACATTGCTGTTCTGCTCAACTAAGAGGAATGGAGAAGAACTCTGCCCTTCTCTTCTTCCTAAGGGATCTGCATCCCCCTCTACTTAAGATCAGTGTGTGTCTGCTCCTTTCCAAGTATACCTAGCTGGAAAATAATAATATAATCTCGCTCCCTTTTTCTTGGCTGAAAAAGGTTTTAACTCTGCTGGTTGGGATGTCTGCCTCAGGCCCACTCTGCACCTGTGCTGGGTGCTGAGGTACTGGTGGATCCTTTCTGCTCATCCCAGGGAACATGACTGCTGCAGGGACCTTAAGTCTTGGGTGAAACATCCCCAGATGGCTTTGCCTGTGAATATTCAGGAACTTTTGAACCAACCTTCTGGCTAAAGACACACTGCTACTTAGAGATGTAGTCCCCTAAGCTACTTGAAATAAAACCAGTAAGGGTACCTATCCCCCCATCTTCCCACTGTTGATTTTTGAGTTTTGGAGACTGTATTTTTCCTTTATGAATTTGTGTTTTGTGAGATTATGATGATGACTGCTGCCTGAAAAACTAAATTTGGCTTACTGACAGCATAGGTCTTATCCTGCCTTAGGGATTGCCTCTATACCTGTATGTTGCCAGCCCCTGAACTGTAAAGGCATCTCTGGAAGCATGTCCTTGAGAAGGAGCAGCCTGGCTGGGATTATAAAGGAAATAGTAAAGGGCATTTCAGGCAAAATAGATACAGCCCAGAGTGTACTTAAAATGGAGGTGGTTTATGCAGTTCACTTTTTGTTGTGATTGACAATGTTTTGGGAAGACTCTGGCCTGCAAACTCACTGAGCTAACACCATATCAAGGATAAGGGGCAATGTCCAAGTGAATGCTCTTGTAGTAAATCTAATTTCTAACCCAACTACAGCCCAGAAAGGACCAGATGGGGTCATCATTCCCAATAACTACTGTGACTTCTGCCTCGGAGGCTCCAATATGAACAAAAAAAGTGGCCGGCCTGAGGAGCTTGTATCATGCTCAGACTGTGGGCGCTCTGGTAGGTGACTCCTTCTTGCATCTTTCTTGTACAATGGCATTTGTGTGATTTGGTTTTTGCACCTTCTGAAGGTGTTGAAGAAAGGCAGCATATTTGAGAAGGGATAGAAGATGGAATCTCACCTCTTCTCTGTGTTTGTGGGAAAGGATGACTGAAAATTTTTTTATAATATAAACCCCATTGTTGGATTCACATATTTAAGCTAATGGAGTCTTATGAAATAATGAAGTTTTAGTTTATTTATTGGCTTTTGGGAACATTGGTACATGTACTAATTGTTCTTCACATGGAAGGAGAAAATCCTATGACAATTTTACAGAATGGTTTCTGTCTTTAAATGGTGTAATTACAACTATAAATTACTTAGAAGATTTATGAAAGTTGCATGACAAGCATTCCCATTGATTACACATTTCATGCATTTCTTCATCCAAAAAAGAAAGAGGGAGAAAATTACAGGGTAGGTATGGGGCTAACTGTCAAGAATTATCCTCTTACAAGATGACTATCATTAGTTTTGTTTAAAGAGGTTTTTATTTCTCCCTTTCCTTCTCTCTTTTTGAATGTAGACAATTGTGTCTTTCCCATTTTGAGTTGTCTTTATTTTTGGGCTGTTGTTTTCTTCCTTCCTTTCTTTCTTTTTTTTTTTTTGAAAATTTTATACCAGCTGAACAGTTATTTATAGCTCACATAGGAGGTAGTGGTGGTGGTAGAGGGAATTGGAAAACCTTTAACAACTGCATATTCCAGCACTGGTCCAAGTTTCCACTTGTGATATTTTTGTTTTGTGGTGATACTAGTGGTAATAAGATGGTGATATAGAAATTTGAAAACCAAGGAGGCCTTGAAATTCAGTACGAATGCTGCTCCTTCTACACTGTAGTCACTGAAAGATGTCTGTTGCTTCATGGCTGAAATGTGATATGGAATGTTCTCATGCCAAGGAAATGGCTTTTTTATGCTCCTGCTGAAATTCATAGTAAGCCTATTACCACATTCATTGGGAGAACGATTAGACTCTCACTGAAATTGCCTTCTGTAGTTGTTGTGACCTCAGAAGACATTCTGAAATGATACTGGTCACCAGAGGATCAATGGCAACTCCTTTGGTTTTCTGCAGGGGCATCCTTACGAATGCTGTGCAGTCAGAGACATGAACCTTTTAGTGTACATGTGATTGCTTCTAATAACTGAAGGGGAAAGTCCATGGGGTCTGTGGTGCCATCTTGGAAGATTATTGCCCTTCGCCTTGATTGTTATATTTCAATATAACTAATTTCAGCATTGTCCTGATATGGTACAGTGAGATGGAGCCATATTTTATTGCTACTTAAACATTGCTATGGTGGTTATATCAGATTGCAACACAAATACATTAATTCCCTTGATTCCTTAGTGTGATAGAACAAGTAGATCAGCCTGTAGCCTAAACTGTGCCAAATCAGTTCCATCAAATGCTATCCTTGTACAAATTCTGACCCACTTGGGTCATTCATAGGGTCTGCAATGCTGTGACTGATGTGTGATGAAAGTCATTAAGGTATAACCACACACTAATATCTAAACTAAAACAATGAAACCTCTTTGGTGTCTGCCATCTTTCTCTTTTATAATAGTGGAGAATATTTTCATTACACTGAAAAAGAGGTCATGGAAATTATATTGCTTCTTCTGTTCACAAAGTCAGTAAAATCACATTTCTACAATATGGTTTATCTGCCAGTTATTTTGTTATATCCATTTTATTTTTTGTGAACAGGATTTACTTCTTTCTGTCTCAAGCAATGCAGTGTACTTGTTATGTGGCTGCTTCATGTAGCTGGAGCAGGGACCCAACAGTTGGTTGCTACTGTTTGTGAATAACAAAATAGCTGTTCCCTAAAATCTCACACTTCAATTTTGCTGGGGCACAAGAGATATCTTTTTCTCTACCATCCCTAAAGAGGGAATTTGAAGGTCATACTATTAATCACAGAAAAAGTTTGTCTGGGAGAGAAAACAAACCTCAATTTCACAGATTTCAGTATATGACTTCTCTTTTTAGGAGTCTTCTTATGGTTGTTGTTGCCATTATTGGTATTGTGTGGAGAATTTCCTGTTCCATCTTGAAAGTTGGATTGACTCACACAAATTTGAACTTTCCAGTGTTTCCCAAGATGGGTTACTTCTCTGTTGTTTTAGTTGTTGACCTGTATATATGGGGTTTTCTTTATTTTTGAAGGATGTGCCATGAAATTTGTATTAAAGTGTTGGTTTAGGTTACTTTCACTTAGTCTTCAAAATGTATTTAATTTTGTCTACAGAGGAGGTTCTTTAGCATCAGGTGAAGAACAGGGATAAAAAGTAGTCCTGAGGTTGATCAGGCTTATCTAGTGGCTTACATTTCCATAGCAGAAAATTTGTGACTGTTGATGCCGTTGTGCTTAGAGCTAACAGTGTCTCATTACTTACACGGTCTAAAAATATTTAAAATTGATCTAAGTAATCATGAGGAAATATTTTACTGTCTTTTGAAGAGCGGAAAACATGATTAACCCTTTCGCTGCTGTAGCTATGGGCACCTGTGGTGTTTGTAGATTTTTTCTTGGAAAGAGAAACTGATCCTTTGTTGTTTTTCTTACTGCAGTTCTACCTATGCTGTGTTGTTGGGGTGCGCGGGCGCATACAAGCACACACCTATGAGCTTGATAGTCTGACTTGCTTAATGATAATGAAAATGATGAAAAAAATGATGATGATGATGATGCCTGTTGCTTAACCCATGTGCTGATATATTCATCATACATGTCAGCTCATTTGGGAAGAGAAGGCAGGAGGGACGAAGCAGCGCCAGCACGCACTACGGAGGACTTGTTCGGTTCCACGTCAGAAAGCGACACCTCGACCTTTCATGGCTTTGACGAGGACGATGCAGAAGAGCCTCTCTTGAGCCGAGGAGGTGGCTGTGGTGGCAGGTCTCCCTCTGCAGACAAAAAGGGCGGCTGCTAAAATAACTAAAAAGACACAGAAACTCTGAGCTGTCCTTTTCACTACTAAGATTATGATTACATTTTTCATTTTTCTAATTTTAGGTCCTCTTGGGTTTTTGGTTAGTTGGTTTTTTCCCTCCTCCTTTTTTTTTTTTTTTGGCTTTTTTTTGGTTTTTTTTTATTTTTTTGGTTTGTTTGTTTGTTTGTTTTTTATGTTTTCCCTGTGGGGTGTACACTGAAAGCACAAGCATTCAAAACTCTTGACAACTACTTTGAAGAGACAGAAGGTTTTTGATTTTCCTGTTTTGTTTTTTTCTTTCTCTTTTTTTTTTTTCATTTTTATTTGGTTTTATCACACCTCCCCTCCTTCTCTTTCTCTTTAGAAACATAAAAAGTGGATTTAATATTTTTTTTAATAGTGAGCAGAGTTGATTTTCTTGTCTTTTAATATATATATATCAGCAAACCACAAAAAATACAGATGGGTTGGAGAACAGAAAGTAAACCCAAATAGTTTTTTTTAATTATTATTATTATTTATATATTCTATGTATTATTAGAAAAACTACTTTTTAAATAAAAAAAATAGAAAAAAAAACAACAAAAAAGCAATGGATGTCTACTTGATAATAGAACTGTTACTAGAGAACCACTGTGGGCGGACTCTATCAGGGGATAAGGAAACCCTTGATGTGATGGCATCTGCGTCTTGAGATTTTGCACTTACTGTAGCATGTGAAGTCTGGCTCTTCTCACACATCTGCTACGCTACAGCCTGAAAATACAAGCGGCACCATTGAAGACCATGGCCTTGGGGAACACATTTCCATCTCCTTTGGACACCTTTACACTCAGTAAATCTCCTCTGTGCATCCCTTCATGTCTTCCCCACACCGTTCCACTTTTTTTTGCTTTTCCTTCACCCTTCACTTGATGGACAGCAATTTCCAAGCATAGGGATGGCATATGAATGGCAAGTCATAGACATCACAGAAAAAACAAAACGAGAAGCAGAATCCTGGAAGAAATGACATGGAAAAATACCTCACCTGTACTTTTCTTTCCATTTTTAAATTTCAATTCACAGCATTTTTTCCTGTGTTGCCCTGTTTTTTCTCTCTGTAGTGTCTCACGAGACACTTTATTTGCTTTTTAATGGCTTCTTTTGAAATAAACCAAAGCAATACTAATTAAAGTTCCGAGGGCAATGGAGAAGAGAGTGACTCCCTTCCCAGCGACTTTCCCAGAAAGGAGGAAACATGCAGCAAGATTTGAAAGGTATGTCTGAGCTGAAATATCTTTCACTCAATTGTGCAATTTCTTGCCCTGGCTTTTCAGCAGACCCCTGACTGAGCTTTGTTGTAGCAGAAAGTCCCATGAATTAAATTGTATTATATGTATGTGCCACATTCATGCCCCGGTGAAACTAATGGAAGTTTGTGAGAGCAGGATCCAGACTTGCGTACAGTCAGAAGTGATGCAAAAGGAGTCAGTGTGTAGTTATGTTTTGCTGTCCCAGTGCAGGCAAAAATCTCCCTGGAGCAGGGGCAAGGTTAAGTTGTAAAAATCTATTTTTACTGATGGACATAATGCAAACAGGGTGAAATCATGACCTGATTTAGAGCAAAGGCAAAAGAGACATTTCTCTGGATAGTGCCTAATCCTTAAACTGTAGGTGTGTGTTATTGATATCAGAGTAAAAGTCTTAGCCTTGCAATAAGGAATTTGGATATGTACAATGGAAACAAGCCAGACCAAATGGACTCCATTTTTTCTGCTTCTTTGCTAGAATAGTCTGTCTGTGAGAGCAATTTCAATGCCCTCCCCCACCTTCCAACCTTGTAGAAAAAAGAGAAACAATTCAGTCTCTTGAATTTTTATTGTTCTCTTTAGACATGGAATGAGCAGTGGCCAAATTCTGCTTTTAGGTATACAGGCATAAATCCAGAATATAAGCTAACTGATATCTAGATTACATTAATAATCTGCCTTCAGATGCTGTTAGAAAACATTACAAATACGTCTGTATAT